AGTAGTGCTATCGAGAGCTTAAAAACGATATCGCGATAAGAAACACACGTGCTGCACTGTCGGGTGTGGAACACGTACTGAGTAATTATTTGATCTAGTATAATATAAGAATAAATAATAATTATAGTTATTAAATTTAGTATGAAATGGATACTCAATAATTGAATATTTTAATTTTTCAAAGATATTATAATAAATTATTAAGTAATTGTATATTTCATTATTTCTCTGACAAAATTGAAAGGCTTGATGTAAAACTTTACAGAAAATAATTTTTTGATAATAAATACCCTGGTTTACAAGGGATTTTCATCAGAGACTAGAATATATTTTTCTTTATATTTTTTCAAATTATTAATGATTTTAATCTTTAATATGTTAAAAATAATCAATGCAAAATGTCATTTTTAGCCTATTTTTTAATCTTTTAAAGTTGATTTTTTTGAAAGTTTATAATACAAAAAGGTTTAGCTTTTTATCATAACTTTCTTTTAGCTTAACTTAAAGGTTTGAAATTTAAATCATTAAAAAGATAATTTGCAAGAATGAAAAAAAAATGATATTGTTAAAATTCATATATAATCAGGAAATATTATAATCACTATTTACATAAATATATGAGAAAAGCTCAATATTTTGTTAAATTCACTATTTTTTGCATTTTTATCTAATAAATAATTGTAACAGAAATCGTAGTTATAATTTCTAGGTAACTGTTGGTGTTTAAAAAAAGATTCTACAATTAATTTATACATAATTATAATAATTTACTTTATCTACAGAACCATACAAAAAGTTGTTAAAAATATATACTCAATTGTTCGTATTATAAAAATTGATTATAATTGTAAAAATCGATTGTTAAATTCTAGTGAAACTATAAAAAAAATGTTTTTAGAAATTGTTTATACAGTATCATATTTAAAAAAAAAACCCAGCACAGGGGGGTTGCGGCACAGTGGTGACGTGGCATAGATGGATCAAGTATAATGATATCTGACAGTGATTAAAATCACTATCAAAAAAAAAACGCTTCGATGCAAATTTTTAGATAGNTATAATGATATCTGACAGTGATTAAAATCACTATCAAAAAAAAAACGCTTCGATGCAAATTTTTAGATAGTGTTTAATTTTAAAAAATTGATGAAATATTCCAAAAGCTACCTCTGCTAGTTCATTATTAATGTCCTAATTAAGATAAAGTATGTCAAATATGTTTTCACCATGAAGACAAAATAAAGTCCGAAAAATTTTTTTTTTCCTTAAGAAAATATATTACATTAGCTTTAATTTAAGTTATATATAAAAGTGTCAGACTTTCCGGAACACTTTCAAAATTTAAGTTGAAAAAGTAAATTTTTTGTGAAAAAGTTGTCATTTTGAATCCACCCCTGGTGGCTGGTAAAGAGTTAAATTTATAAAAAAAAAAATACCAGAAGATAGGTAAAGACATCAAGCATCTATAAAAAAAAAATTATATTGATTTGTTCATTTTTGAAAAAGTTATGACAGTTTTAAGTAAAAAAAATTGAAAAAACTTCGAAAATTAGCAATTTTTAAATTTGTAATTTTTTTGAAGGTTTCCCCCATTTACGAAAAACGAGGGAATTTTTTTAAATTTTTGAGGGTAATGTCTTTATATTCTGATTACAAGTTTTATGATTTATTAGTGTAATATATGAATATATATATAATTATAATATATAGAGGGAAATAGTCTAATTAAAATAAAAGTATGTCACATAAAAGAAGAATATAAATAGTACTTATCTTAAAAAAAATATAATAATCCATACATTTTTCAAAAAGTTATAGCTTTATAGATTTAAAATATAAAAAATAATTTTTTTACAAAAATCGTATATTTTTATTAACTCTGATGTCTGTTTTTAACATGAAGGCAAAATAAAGTCCGATTTTTTTTTTTCATAATAAAGTATATTACATTAGCTTTAATTTAATATATATATAAGTGTTAGAGTTTCTGGAACACTTTCAAAAGTTAAGTTAAAAAAATTGTTTTTTTGTGAAAAAGTTGTCATTTTGAACCCTCCTTGTGGTTAGGTATATAGTCAAATTTATAAAAAAAAATGTACTAAATGATAGGTAAATCTATCATATATGTATCTATAACAAAAGCTATATCGATTTTGTCATTTTTAAAAAAATTATGGTAGTTTTAAGTAAAAAATTTTGAAAATTAGCGATTTTTAAATTTGTAACTTTTTGATTTTCCTCATTAACGGGGAACGAGGGAATTTTTTTCAATTTTTGAGGGTAATGTCTTCGACTAGATACGATTTGTGATCTTTTGACGTATCATTGAAAGAAATCGGTTCGGTGAGAGCTGAGAAAAAGTGGTAACAGACACAAAAAAAAAANTTGACGTATCATTAAAAGAAATCGGTTCGGTGAGAGCTGAGAAAAAGTGGTAACAGACACAAAAAAAACATATCTTAGTAAAACTAATACCTTCTCAGCTTCGCATCGAAGCAAAAAATTTGGTAGATCGGTAGTAGACCATAGTCAATTAATATATAAAAAGGTAAAATTATTTAATTTTGTAGTTGAAACCTATTATCATATCAAACCTAATTCGACAATCAATACTTTAAAAAACATTAAAAATGAATAATTTTAATTGTCTATAAAAAGAACGTGGCTAAGTAACTTTTTAATTTATAAAGTGGACATTTTTCAATTTTTCAGGGCAATATCTTATCTAAATAATATTTGTGGTTTTTTGACGTATTGTTGAAAGAAATCAGTTCGACGAGAACTAAAAAAAAGTGGTAACAGACAAAAAAAATAGATAAAAATAAACACATCATGGTAAAAATAATACCTTCTCAACTTCGTATCAAACCTGATATTAATCACATTACTTCCACAAATTGCACCCATACATTAATAAGTGAATTATTTTTAAGTCAAATATATTAATCTAATTTATTATTTAAATAAACTAACCAATCATTTTTTTTCATGGTTGTCATTTTATTAACATAAGTAGATTTTAATTCTCAAGTAATGGGAAATTCTACGATTGTAATTTATTCATATGAAACTTGTTTAATCTATTTTATCATTAAATGGCATTTCAGCAAATATTTGATTAACATTTTTATTTTATTTTTTATAAATCAAAATGTAGAAATAAGCTTATGGTAAATAATAAAATCACCAAAATAATTCACTTCCAAGCATTCTGAAAATATCATGATTAATTATATGAGAATTTACATCTAAAACCATTAGTTATACAATATTGCTTTTTCAGTCAATAAATATATATTTTTGAAAAAATATAACATATTCGATAATTCTATTAATAATTAATAGTTCTATTTATACAATTTATTTTAATCGATCAAGATTTTTTAAGTAATAGAATGACAATATAGATAAAGACACTATAGACATAAATTAAACATTAGTATGAATGTGTTAAAATTTTCATGGATTGTCTTGTTACTTAAAGTGCTTAAAGATTTATCCATGTTTTTAGTTGACTTCTGACGTTTCGGACTCATTGCAGAGTTCATCTTCAGAGTGATGGTTGATAGTCGGTCGCTGCTACTATACTCAAGTATATTACACATGATTATCTGAATATTATATTTATATTAAGTCTGTGCTATTATGTGGAAATTATGGGCGAACATTGACAAAAATAAAAAACCATTTTAACTACATCTTGAGAAAAAATATATATTTAAAGTCGAACACACATAACATTATTTCATATAAAATTCAATATTTTATAATATCAACAACTATATAATTATAAGCTCTACTTTTTTTTTATACTTTTATAGTGATATTAGTACTGCATTAATTTTTATTTGAAGTAATAACAGTTTATATAGTTTTAATATATGTAAACGTTTCATTAAATTTGTAATTTATTAAGATTAAAAATATTCATTTTCAAAATTCTATCAAATAAAATACAGTAACTTACATTTTTATTTTACGTTTATTATTATAATAATACTTGTAGCCCAAGTAAACTCTAAATACAAAGTTTTGTCATTAATCTATAGTATCTGTTAATTTGTAATTTTCAAAATCTCAAACTAATTATTAAAAGGAAACGATTTGGTAAGTAGAAAAACATTTTAATTATACAAATTTATCTCGAACAAACTAAGTAAATATTATTTTTTAATTATATAATGAAAACAGTAAACAATTTGTTTTTACACAAGTTAAGTAAATTAATTGACTACTGAACAAAAAAATATAATGTATAAGAAAATATCAATAATTTTAACGATCACGTAATATATCCAGAATTGTTTTTGAAGATATTAAAAAATTACGGGGGCTAAGTCTTAAATTTATTTTACATTTATATTCATTATTCTCCAGTTTACGCAGATTTTTTTGATGCGCAATAATTAACTTGAAATCTAAATAAAAAAAATTGTTAAGTGTTCAACAAATAAATTAATAATTTGATAGGTACCTAATATGATGCATTTAACTGCCAAAGGCGCGTGTTTCATAT